TGTACAGCCAAAGAAACAATCATTAGAGTGAACTGGCAACCAACAGAATGGGAAAAAATTTTTGCAATCTAGCCATCTGACAAAGGGTTAATATCTAGAATCTACAGGGAACTAAAACAGATTTATAAGAAATAAACAAACAAACCCATTCAAAAGTGGGCAAACGACATGAACAGACACTTTTCAAAAGAAGACATTTATGAGGTCAACAAACTTATGAAAAAATGCTCATCATCTCTTCTCATTAGAGAAACGCAAATCAAAACCACATTGAGATACCATCTCATGCCAGTTGGAATGGTGATCATTAAAAAATCAGTAGACAACAGATGCTGGAGAGGATGTGGAGAAATAGGAACACTTACACTGTTGGTGGGAGTGTAAATTAGTTCAACCATTGTGGAAGACAGTGTGGTGATTCCTCAAGGACCTAGAAATATAAATTCCATTTGACCAGCAATCCCATTACTGGGTATATATCCAAAGGATTATAAATCATTCTATTGTAAAGACACATGCACAGGTATGTTCAGTAAGACACTGTTTACAATAGCAAAGACCTGGAACCAACCCAAATGCCCATCAATGATAGACTGCACAAGCAAAATGTGGCACATATACACCATGGAATACTATGCAGACATAAAAAATGATGAGTTTGTGTCCTTTGTAGGGACATGGATGAATCTTGAAACCATCATTCTCAGCAAACTGATACAAGAACAGAAAAACAAACACCACATGTTCTCACTCATAAGTGGGTGTTGAACAATGAGAACACATGGACACAGGGAGGGAAGCATCACACACTGGGGTCTGTTGTGGGGAAATAGGGGAGGGACAGCTGGGGTAGGGAGGTCGGGACGGATAACAGGGGGAGAAATGCCAGATATAGGTGACAGGGGTATGGAGGTAGCAAACCACATTGCCATGTATGTACCTATGCAACAATCCTGCATGTTTTACACATGTACCCCAGAACCTAAAGTGCAATAATATATATATATAATAAAATTAAATTGAAAAAGAAGTCATTTGTACCTCGTGTACCTAGCTTAGAATGGTTACACACTATGGTCCAATCCCTTCCCAAAAAAAGGGAAAATTTTTTCATGGAAGTACCAACTGACTTCAGGCCTTCTGCAGAGAATAAATATTTCTCTAAATATTTATTTAATCTTATATAACTGATTGGAAGTTTTAAAATGTTAACAGATAAAGAGCATGGTTCATTTAAAAAGTAAGTTTATAAAACAAGAATTAAGAGTAAAATCTCTGTGTTAGTATTAGGAGTGAACTTTAGAAAAATAGAATTTATAGGTCACTGTTTTGAGAAAAATAATTCTGAGCCATGTGAAAGACAGATATCAGATATCATCATAAATCTGGGCTCCAAAATTGAAGTGTAGGAAGAGAGGTATATGTTTGCATGTTTGTGCATGTGTGCATGTGTGTTGATGGGGAGAGACAGGGGCTTTGAATTCAATGTATAAAGGAAGGCATTATATAAATCACGCTTAGAAAATTTCAGGGATGTCAAATTTTGTATTCTGAAGTTTGTATTTTTAATTCTTGCTCTAACAATTTCTTTTGAAAAGAGGGGAAGGTAGAAAAGTAATACATATGCTGTTTTTTAAATTTATCTCACAATAAAAAGCCAAAATTTATTATTTTAAAGCAAAGGCAAAGAGGACCATGGCCACAACTTTCTGGATTAGCTCTGGCTGTTAGGAGGCTGGAATACTATCTCTGAATGGTCATTTGGTTTTATTTGATTTTGGCAGGTACTCAAAGAACACAAATTGCTTGGGTGGTAGTATTTACCTTCAGAGTTAGGCATGCAGCCTTCAACACATTTTGTGACAAAACAGAGGGGTAATTATAAGAAAAATGGTAACAGACAAGGGAATGTACTGAAAGAAGGGGAAAGAAGCTAAAGAAAAAGAAACCAAAGCAAAGTGAAATTTGCAACACATACAACTGCCAAAGGCTTGAAAATCAACTCCTATAGGCCAGTAAAAAAAAAAAACAAATAATCATAGAAAAATGAGCAAAAGACATGAACCTATATTTCACAAATTAATCTGAATGGCCAGCAATCACGTGTAAAGACGCTCAACCTCATTAATAGGAAAACACAAAGGAAATGCAAAGCAAAGCCATTAATGTGATACTTCAAACTTTTCTATCCACCAGGCTGACAAAAAAATTATACCAAGTTTTGGTGAAAATATCGAACTACCAGTGATAACACAAATTACTCCTACCACAGTTTGGCATTACCTAGTAAAGTTAAACACAATAGTAATCATCCCACTTTGAGTATATGCCAGAGAAATGTGCACAGGTACACCAGGAAACATACACAAGAATGGTTACAACAGCAAAAAACAAGAACGACACAAAACCCTTCAACAGTAGAATGGATTGTGTACATTCACTCAATGGAACTCTGTACAGCAGCGAAAAATGTATCTCTACATCAAGTTGGATTAATTTCAAAAAATGCAACTGCAAGAGAAAAATTTAAAAAGGAATTCAGAGTATGTTTCCATTTTTATCACAAAAGTGGCAAAACCAGTGTATTATTCATGGATATACATACTACAGGGTAAATATATAAAGAAAAGCAAAGGGATAATAAACACAAAATGTCTTAAATGTCTAAAAAGATTTACTTATTTCTTACATTTAAAATTATTCTGTTTTCAAGATTTAAGTTGTATCCTAGTTTATATTTATGTAGCAAATGACCCCAAGCCCAAGAAAAATGGAATAAAATTGTCCTTTCTAGCCTCAGAGAATGTGCCTGTGCATAGGTCATGAATGAACTATTTGAGAATTTTGTACAGCTAATTTCAAAACTTGGCATCAAAGGAGGAAATAAATAGTTCTTTTTTTCCCTCCAGGCAGAAAACAGAAAATACTACTATCAAAAAGTAACAGAATACAAGAGATAAAGTATAACATCGAAAGTTAATTACGTTTTCCCAACTCCCAAATAAATGAGAACCAAATGCAGGCCTTTCTCAAATTTGAGTCTCTTCAAACTCACAGTATTTGCAGGGTTTTGCCTTCAACCCGAAAAGCTATGGTGAACTTTGAAGGGGCTGATAAAGGAGCAGAGAAAACTGGGGCTAAGTGATAAAGGTTTCAGAGAACTATGATTACGGCCTTGCATTTTACTTAGAAAAGTATTATTTTATATGTCAAATAATAGGTTCCTCTATTTATCATAAATGGCACTATTTATAATATCAGATGACTTTTTACATTTAACACCCATATTATTAATACTGTGAATATAATGATCCATTGAGACAACAGTAAAAGTCCATGTGTTCACCTTAATTATTATTTTGATGAACTATTCATAAACTCCCAATATATTTCTTCTATTTTAAGTCTACTTTAAGTTAGTAGAATCTTAAGTGAATGAAACAGAAAATTAAAGGACTCATCCAGTTTGGCGGCTACAGGAAAACTTCCCTCTGAAAAATTTAGTTGTTTTGTTCCTTGTTCTCTTTGAGAAAAATTTTTTGCCTGTCCCTAAAATTGGTTTCTAAAGGTCCTAACTCCATATAAAATTACAAATTAACTAAATGCATACTTGGTCACTATTAGATCCCTTTCCAACATGGGAAATAAATTCAAGTTGAATTTTTAAAAATATTTAGTGTAACTCAAATTTCCATAAGGCACTAGAGATAAAAGCGACATTAAGTGAAAAGCACTTACTTGTCAGTCCTCTCGAGCCATGACTAAGGTGCTTTTACTAAGTCTGGGTATTTTGCCTACACATTATCAGAATGTTTATCTCAAGTATGACACCCTTGCTTTTAGGTTCAGGGAAGAGACATGCCTTAGTTTTGTTATCTCTCTGAATGGCAGAATAATAATAGATAAAACTAGCTGTCCTTCAGTAAGTGCCCACTGCTTGGACCTTTTGAATATAATAGTTCATTAATCTTCACAAAACTGTAAGGAGTAGGCATTAGTTTTATTCAGGTAGCACCCACAGATTTATAAAACATGTGACCTGCAAGTAAACTATCTTGAAGACACAAAAACCTTTTAGCAAAGCAAAGATGTATATTGGTGATATATATAGTATTGATATTTATGTCACCAAAGAAGATGGTCCTAAATTAAAAAAAATTAGGAATGCTAATGTGCAACAGCTATGTTCACGAATGTTTACAACTGAACGCTTGCCCAATAATTTTATATAAAGTCACGTAGCTGCTCTGGAAATCAGCACCATCATCTGATGTTGAACTGTGATCACAAGTGAGCTACACCTGGGTTTGCATCCCAGTTCTGTGTGATTTGGGGCAAGTTGCTTTATTTCACTTTGCTGCAGTTTTTTTTTTTTTTTTTTTTTTTTTACTATAACAAGGGCCCACCACATAGGGGTGTAGGTAAAGCACGTAAATGCTTTAACACACGTCAAATGTTTAAGCGCAGGCCTAACCGCAGGAAACACAGCGCGTTCCCTGGCACCTCTAAGGTCCTTCCAGCTCTGGTAGTTATCCTGTGTAACTTCAAGCTGTGTTTAACATTTTGGTGAAGACGGCCCGCAGTTCTGAGGCTGCACGGTGCAGGAAATTCTCGACTACAGACTGCAGCACACAGTACCTAGGACGGCCAGGGCTGCGGAAGCAACTTCTATAGAGCGCACGAATGCCAACAAAGCTTGTTAGAAACGACCCGCCTGCACCCCTGAGGTGGCGGGTCTCAGATGTGGCCAAAGTTTCAAGGTGAACAAGCCCAGTGGGTCTCCTGTGCCTGGGCGGAAGCCTTCCTTGGAGGGTTAACCATTAACTAAGGCTGAACCGAAGCCCAGGAGGGCCACAGGCCTCGCAGCTTCCAGGAGCAAACGCCGCGAGATTGCTGCCCGGACACCGCCGGAATGCAGGGTGCAAGCCCGCGGCCCGAACGGAAGCAGCCGGACCCGCGAGCCCCGAGCCCCGCCCCCGCGCGGCGAGAACAGAACTTACTGTTCCCAAGTCCTCGCTCCGCCTCCGCGTGACGCGACTGTACAAGCCCGAGCTCCAGCCACGCGCGGCGCCTCGACGGGGCGGGGCGAGGCCGTCCACGTGACCTGAGAAGGCCCGCCCCCGGGACCACCTCTATGGCATTGCTGGCAGATGACCCTGGTTGTTAGAGATCGCTGGCCAACAACGCCCTGCCAGCACCTTCAAATTGGCAGGCCTACTCGTGTGCTTGACAAATGTGGATAGAATCAAGTTTACTTTTTAGGTGTTTGTTCATCTCATTACATTTATTCAAATTTTAGATGGGACCAGCGATTTCACTCAGGAATTTATCCTATTAAAATATTCGCAGAAGGTGGTTGCCATGCTTGTAATCCATGTTTAAGGATGTTTATTGCAATGAAATAATGAGAATCGCTAAAGTGATAACACGGGGGAATGGTTCAATAAAACACAGTACAGACATGTGAATAACTTCGTGCCTGTGTACTGTATACTCAAAGGACAGGTCTATGATGTAATGATATTAAAGGCAAAGCATAGATTACTATATGTGGTGTGCTCTCTTTAATGTAAACAAAAATTATGTTTTGAAATACAAACATGCAGATATGTACATAAACTTTTTCTCTAAAAATCAAAAGAAACAATAGTGGTTCCTTTGGGAGGAGATGGAGGGTTTTCATTTTTGTCTTTTGAACTTTGCAATTTACTCTTTTCTTTTTGTACTTCCCCTGAATTGACAACAACAAAAAGAAAAAACCCCTCATATTTGTGTTCCAAGCTGGGAAACTAGATGAGCCTGCTAAGTTTTTTAAAGTTTCCTTGACTACATTCCAATGCGGTGGTTCTTAACCCTGGCTATGCCTTAAGGTCGATTGGGAGTTTTGAAAGGGTCGTAATGCCCAGTCTGCATGCCAGACCAACAAAATAAAATACAGATTTATCTGGGAGAGGGGAAGAGTAGATTCAATATATGTTTTTAACTTCCCGAGTGATTCCAATGTGAACCCAAGGTTGAACACTGCAACCTGTATATAGGTGACATAGTGATCTCAGGCTCTAGGGTGGCCCAATGAACCTGGGGCAGTTGAAACCTAGGAGCTTTGTCCATTTACCTCAGTGTGCTATACAAATGCCATTTTTAAAATAAGCCTCAACATGTAAGAAGTTGAACATCTCAGAATAATTTGCCTCCAGTGCTAGTTTCTGATTCTATTCTCTTCAGTATAGTTTTAGAGTGATCAATAATATTTTATGGGATCATTTCACTTTTGCCCATTCGTTTCACTGACCCAAACACAAATTAGCTATCTAGTTTTGATGTATCACTTATCAAAGAGATAAAATATATTTTGATTTATCATACTTTCCATTTTCTATTAGTCATCCCAAATGATTTTATTGGAACATGGAAGGTGTTAGCAGTCTCCAGCTTGTCATCAAAGGACTAAATAAGGTTTTCCATTTTACAATTCCTTTTCTGGTTTGGCATATTCTGGACATTAAAAAAGGACACATCTTAGATCCATCCACCTTAAGTTGATTTTGAATAAACTGAAGACCTTAGTAGTTATACATGCACATGCACACAAGGAGGATGAAAGAAGAGAAACTTTCTTTTATCTCTACCAGAAGCATTTATATGGTTAGTCATATGAGGTTTGGAAAGCTGTAACAGAGGTCAGAATAAATTACCCTTCTCCACTTCCCAAGTGCACACACACACAAAGGCACAAAACCATTCACACACCGGCATGCACGTTAGGTAATAGCAAGAACCCATCCAGTCTATTTGGAAGTCGTTGTTCAGAGTAAAGTTCATGATTTCTACTGTTATTTTGCCTTTTATTTTTTTCAATAGAACAATGTGAGCAATACTACCACTAAGTTCCACCTGTGGGCATCTTGGGGCATGTTCTACCTTTTTCCTTCCTTCATTTGTTTTAGCCTTTCCTTTTCCGAGCTTCTCACTTTGGCCTATTAGTGACACCTAGTGGTACCTGTGGTCAGCTTTTCCCCTGATTTTGGCTCTCAGTATCTTCATGTATGGTTTCAAGTGTCCCTTCCCACATTTGTGAGCCTAGTCCCTCTACTGTAAGCATCAGGCTGTTTCTAGACATACACTTCAGGCACCAAGACTCTCCTCTTAGAGAGTTAAAAAAACTTGCCTTCGATCCTAAGCCAAAATCTGTGTTGACTGCTAGTGAAGACACCTGTGTGCTGCTAGTTTCACTACAGGGAGATTTGAAGGGTATCCACCAATCTGGGTTTCCCTCTCCTTCACACCAGAAAAGAGTGATAATACTGCCCTTATCAGGCTCTGGAATTCAGATTATGAGACAGTGAGGGTGGCTCTAAATACCACCTATGTGCTTCTGACTCCTAAATGAATGTCTCCAGACATAAACGTTTGTTGGGGATACCTACTTGACATTTCCATCGGGCTATTGTGGCAGAAGCCACGGTGTTCACCAAACATCCCATCAACGACCCACATTTTCCAGCTTCACTTACAGTTTGTCGCCCCCACGTGGCCAGTTTTGAACAATGGGCTGTAGACTGAAGCATAGAAAAGCTGAGATGAGCCTTCTCTAGTTGCATCTTTTTATGTCATAAGAATTAACAATATTCTGGATGCTGGAGCCTCCACCAGCCTGGGTCCCTGAGTGACCATGCAAACAGAGACCACATCCCCCCACCAATTCTCTAACTTCCACCAAGCCGTGAAAGTCACATTACTTAAGTGAGAAATAAATTTTTATTATGTTAAGGCCCCTGAAATTTTAAGACTGTTTATTATTGTTATACAATAGTTTAACCTGATAATTCATAGCTATCTCTAATTTCATTATGTTCAAAATTGAAATATTAATTTTCTCCCATAAATCTGCATTTCTTTGTCTCCTCCATCTCTATAAGTGACAACACTGTCCATCTTCAGGCTTAAGGGAGAAATCTGGATGTCTTCCTTGACTTCCTCCTTTTCCTTGCTGCCCACCCGCTGCCTCTCCAGAGAGAAGGGAGTTTGCGTCGCTGACCTGAGACTGCTATCCTTAAAAAGGTCTGCTTGCAAGGTTGGCCCTTGGCTGACATGTGAGAACTTGGCTGGTAAACAGTCTCCTACTGTTGTACCAAAGCCCTATTAACCTCAATAGGAAAGGAACCAGGTTCAAGAGACTGAAGAAGAGACCTAGAGCCAGCAAACAAAACACTGTGTTTTATTAGGTGCTTAGAGAGTCCAGTGGTGGTGGACTGGACAGGAAAACTGCAACTGCCTGGAATCATCATGCAGTTTATATAGTATTCACCTAATACCCTCCCCCTAACAACATCCACCCGGCAACCTTCATGTACCCCAAAACTCAGGACCTCAATCCCCTGTATGGCCTGTGTTCCACTGGACAGGCCAAGGGCTTAGATGTTTATTATAAAAAAAGAATCTCCAGGTTGGCGACTCCCAGATTCCCTAGCTCATGACATACATTCAGATGCATCTACCATATGGGGTCATTTTAAGGGTATGCACAAATTATTGCTAACAGGTGAGTTTACCTGACGCCTACACCTAAAGAGTTTTCCCTAAATAATAAAAGTGACTCACTGTGCCGAAACTGTTTGTATAATGTGACCTATGCTGATCACTTGCTTTCCTTCCGAGCTTCTAGAATTTGGTACCTGCTAGGCAGAGGTGCTTGTGACCAGCACCTAATAAAACTCTGGCTGCTGAGTCTTGGCCTTTCCTGGAGAAAAACATTGAAAGCATGTTTCTGCATTTTCATTTTTGGAAGAAGAATGCAGTCTGTGTGACCCCTCATAAGAGGGAGAACGCATAGGAATCCTGCACACAAAGTCTTCCACGCTCCGCCTTTTTTCTTTACAATCCAGCTGTGTATCCTTACAATGTTTCTGTAATCATCTTAGCAACACTGTAATAAGTCCCAGAATCTAGTGAATCTCCAAATCTGAAGGGGTCTTAGGGACCCCTTGATATCCCCCCATATCTAATCTAGCACTGAGTCCTGCCAATTCTTCCTAAAATGTATCTGAAATGACACTGCTCCTTACCTTATCTGCTGTCACCACCCTGAAGGTGCCATCATCTTTTATTTGTGTTGGATTTCCAGAGGGCCCAATAACACCTTCTTTTCTGTCTGAGTTTGGAACCAATTAAGAGACACAGAAAAAAGAGATCGGGGGGAGGACTCAAGATGGTGCTGTGAGAACAACCCAGGATTGAAGCTCTTGCTGGACGCACGGAGAGGGTGAGTCGGGGAAGCATTTCCAGACGGATCTTAGTTGCCCACAGAACGGGGAAATCCCCAGGTATAAAAGAGACGCGGGACGCCAGGCAGAGGTCTCCGCAGGCAGCCGATGCGGCTCCGGCCCGCGCCTGAGCGCAGAGGCGCTCCACAGCGCTCCATACAAAAGCGCACTGTTACGGGTGCCCTGTTGAACCGGCAAACTTAAGACCCGAGAGGGCTGAACTTGAGACTGAACGGGTCTTGAACTGTGACCCAGCCCAGGAAATCCCAGGGACTCAGCGTTTGGGGGAGCGCGGTGCGACAAACAAAACGGCGATTCCAAACGCTCCCGGTGAATAGGCTTTTTTTTGTAAAGCGCAGCTCCGCGGGGGAGGGGCGTCAGCCATTACCGAGGCAATCAGCCCCTACTGAGGTACAGGCCCATTGCTGACGCAGCCTGCTGCTGCCGAGGCAACCAGGTACAACAAAGAGACTCCACCGCAGGGCGTAGCCCGTGGTAACAGGGCGGAGACCACAGCAGAAGGGCGGAGCCTGCAGGAAAAGGGCGAACCTCACACCAGCAGGGCGGAGCCTCGGCAGGCAAAAAGTGACTAGACTGCCTCCTAGCTGGGCAGGACAGTGAGGCGGACACTCACAAGGAAAGCCCCAACCCCCGCCCCAGAGAGAGCAACTGAGGAAAAAAAAAGGGGTTTTCTTACGAGCTAGGTTGCAGCAGAACTAAACATAGCAGCCTAGCAGCCCTGAATGAA